TGAACCCCCAGTCGTAACACCTTGAAGGTTATTCTGCCTGCAGGTCTTTTCTTGATTTATTGGAGAGGGAAATGAAAGAGACAGAAGGAAATCTGACCAGCTGGCAGCTTCTTTCAGAAAGTCTTTTAACAAGCTATATGGGGATGGATTGATTTCTTATAAGAAAGTATTTATAGGAAGCAGATCAGTTTTTCTGATGAGTAGTCTCCATTGTTAAAGTTTTTGTGGTTTCAAAACACTGCCATTGTTTGACTTATTTGGAAAGTGTGTTGTGAAGTAGCTAGATAGGAAAGGGAATGCTTGTCTCCATTTTATGTGGAGCGTGACTGAGGTATGTGAAGCCACCTTGCGAGGGGGACACAAAAGCCACAGGCAGTCAGTTGCAGGTGCGGGACTCACACCTTCACACCTACATCTTGTCTTTCTGGTCCTGGTGTTATTTCCATTTCATCATGGAAATGCCCTGGAATGGAGGAAAGGGTGTGTGGGGGTGTGTGTTGGGGATGAACTGGGAAAAAGGAAACAGCAGCTCAAAGGCATTGAGAGGTTTAATTAAAGTTCCAGCTGCCAGGCTCCCTATGAGAATCAGAGTAGGGGCACAAGCAGTGGTAGTACCCCCCAACCCAGAGGAGGGATCTAGTCCTTACACAGGTCACTGGATGAGGGGGATCACAGGCAAGAGTGAGAGCTCAGTGAACTTTACCAGTGAGGACCAGGCAGGCAGGAGGTGAATGGGAAAAAATAAGGAACTCTTTATGACAGGATACAAACTACAAGCATCAGAAGCCTAATAAAAGGGAGTATGCTGTTGGTGTAGGGCAGCATATTGGTGGGCTTGCCAGTCACTGGGACAGAATACCCAGCACCCAAAACTTAAAGGAGAGGTCATTTGGCTCTCAGTTTCAGAGGTCCACTCCAGGGCTGGCTGGCCTCCAGGGAGGAGCATCGTGGCAGGAGGGCAGGCTGGAGCAAAGTCACTCACTGCACGCAGGCAGAGAGCAGAGCACAGGAACAGTGCCTGAGAGGAAGGGGCCAGAAGCAGGTACCGAGTGGTCCTGAGGTCACCTCCCATGGACACACTCCGCGTGTGCTCGTCTCCTAAGTGGTTCTCAAGCTGACCAAGTGCACGTCCAGCCTAGGAAAAGGGTGCTCCCTTTTCTGCCAACCCCAAGGGTCATGGCCAACACACCACAACAGCAGACAGATTAACAAGAGAAAAGTGTAACAGATTTCCTTGGTCTTCAGCCTACATAATTTTGAAGCCTTCAGAACAAAGACCCATAAAGCGTCCTACCCCAACTTCCAATCCCTTTTCCCTGCCGTCTCAAAGAGGAGCAGTATATCTTCCAGAGAAGATTTTATTTGTAGTTTATTACACTCTAAATGATTAAATGTGGGACAAAGCATTACGTCTTGTTGGGTGAGACAGTATTAGCAGGATTTTAGAGGGTTTTGTTTCCTCCATTCCCCTTTTCCCTCTAGTTTTTTTTTTTTGTTTGTTTGTTTTTTAAAAATTTTTTTTTAACATTTATTTATTGTGTGTGTGTGTGTGTGTGTGTGTGTGTGTGTGTGTGTGGC